AGGTGACGATTTTTGGTAAGATCAAGTAGCATTATTGAATTAAATATTGCCAAAAGTGCAGGCTCCACCTGTGTTTTGTGTGTTCTGGCAGTTTACACAGCAAAACTGTTTGAAAAATGCTAGTTGTACAATCAATTACACAGCCCCCTCACATGGGGTGGGCCCCACAATTGACTGTAAAAAAAGACTGTAAATGTAGCCTAATTCAAACTGTTTTCACCTTCACGCCTAACATGGAATCATTCACTGTGTTTCTATTTGATTCCTATGGACATTTCGAGGGACTTTATCAGACAAGATAACGACCTTTTGCCTAAAAAAAAAGAGGGAAAAACCAAAGTATAATAATTATCCCTAAAGGTTAAACGAAAGTAGACAAAATGGTACTGAAATCAACGTCCATGACTAGAGATCAATATACTAAACAAGAGCACTCCAACTCTCTTCTTAAAACTTTAATACCATTTCCCAATGGCTTCAAAAACTGTGGTTTCTAAAATGTTTTCTGAGATGAACATGCCATCAGCTAAAACACTAGTGTCCACAGCAGCTTCTCTGGCTGCGTCGGCCATGGTCGTGCGGTCGGTGGCCCGGGATTTAATCCCATACGAACTCCAACAATACGTCCATTTGACAATCCAAAGTTTCTTCAGATCATTTTCTTCAGAAATCGTCTTGATCATTGAAGACTCCAATGGCCTCTCAAGTAATCAAATCTATAACGCCGCTGAAATCTACTTAGGGACGAAGATCTCACCCGGCACGAACAAGTTCATGGTTAGCATGCCCAAAATGGAGACTAAGATATCGACTACGATGGCTAGGAATCAAGAAATCTTGGACATTTTCAATGGAGTGCACTTCAAATGGAGGCAAATTACCAGGCAAGTTGAGTCGAAACGTGCCACGGGGTACCCAGGACATAACGTCCAGCAATCGGAACTTAGGTACTTTGTGCTTAGGTTTCACAAAAAACATAAACAGATGGTATTTGAGTCCTACTTCCCTTTCATTTTACAAGAGTCGAAGAAAATTGAAGAAGAGAAGAAAACCCTCAAAATTTATACTTTAAATGGTGATTATATGCGTAGATACTCGTCTGACTATTCGTGGAATTCTGTAAAGCTTGATCATCCAGCAACATTCGATACACTGGCAATGGATACGAGGCTAAAAACGATGATTAAGGACGATCTTGATAGGTTTGTTAGAAGAAAAGATTTCTATAGGAAAGTTGGAAAAGCTTGGAAACGCGGGTACTTGTTGTACGGTCCTCCAGGCACAGGGAAGTCGAGTTTAATAGCAGCAATGGCTAATTACCTTAATTTCGACATTTATGACTTGGAGTTGACTGATATTCATGCCAATTCAGACTTGAGAAAGTTGTTGGTTAACACGAAAAACAGGTCAATACTCGTAGTCGAGGACATTGATTGCAGTCTTGAAATACAAGATCGAAAGGCAGAAGAACGAGCTCTGAAAATCCTTCAATCTAGTCAAGCTAGCCAAGCCCAAACTGTAAACATCGTACGACAAAACAAGCCTAATCAAGTAAGTATCTCTCTCTATCTATCAGTATTTTCACAAGTGTGAAAAATTGGCACTGTATCTAAACATTTAGTTCATTCCTTAGGTAACATTATCAGGGTTACTTAATTTCATCGATGGCCTTTGGTCGAGTTGTGGAGATGAAAGGATTATAGTGTTCACGACGAATCATAAAGATCGACTTGACCCTGCTTTGTTGCGTCCTGGTAGGATGGATTTGCACGTTCATATGTCTTATTGCACTCCGTGTGCATTCAAAACACTAGCAGAAAATTATCTTGGAATTACAGATCATTTTCTGATTCCTCAAATTAACAATTTGCTAGAGGAAACAAATGTAACACCTGCAGAAGTTGGTGAACAACTGTTGAGGAATGAAGAGATTGAGATTTCACTTGGTGGCCTAGTTGAGTTTCTACAAGAGAAAAAGAGGGAAACTGATGAACAAGAGGCTAAAGAATTGCCACAAAAACAAGAACAAGAACATGAAGGTCAAAGTGTTGACGGTCCAAATTGAGTAAGTTTTGAAGTAAATAGTCCTTAAGAATATTGCAATGTTTTGATTACTAATCGAGTAGTGCACGACTATGAGCATGTATAGTTCAAAGCATTGGATATGATTGAATGGTAAAATAAATAAGATTTATCCCTTTTATTTATTTTTGTTTCTTAGTAATGTCGAGTAATGATTGATCCTTTTTATTTATTTATCTCTTAAGAATGTCGAGTAATGTCCATGTGAAGTTTGGTTGATGCTTTGTAGTAGGAAGTTTCATTTATGTTTATGATGTGGAAAAAAATTGTTAACAAATGTCATTGATTACCCATGGGACACATATGGACGAAGTGATGAAAGTAAAAGCAATTATTTTCTTATGTAAGTGATAAAATGAAGAAAGTGTACATAGATCTGATTTCTTAAATAGTAGAGCTACATACAAGTGAGGAAATTGGGGTCAATTTGAAAGTGACAAAATAGTGAATTGTACCTTATATAATAACTTTTTTTCCCTCATTGGGCATGAAAAGCACAATAAATTCCATGGCAAAACTCACACGCACGTTCTAAATGGGAAGAAAGATCGTCGATCACTAATTTGATGGGATCCCATTGTTGATTTGATGAAAGTAAGCGTGACAAAACATTATATTGTTGCATTTCATTGGTAAAATGATGGCAATGAGCAGGGCACAAAGGGATGGGGTCGGGAGAGGCCATTATCATCCCTGTCTTGTCGGGAATTTTTGGAAAACAGAGCGGATATAAAGTGAGTGATGAATTACCTTAGTGTGAATATAAAGTGTCCTTTTGTACTAAAATAAATTTTGTTGTGCTAAACTCTCATTTTGTCGTGCCGATAGAGTCGAAGAGTAAACTTTTCTCCTTGACTTTGTTTATATGACAAATTTTAGAGTTATTTTCTAGCAAAATTAAGAGGTAGAGCAACCTCAGATATACAAAATATTACCTGAACCAAGTTTATATATATAAGGAACGCTAAAAAATTAATGATTAATAAGGATTAACAATGCTCGTAGGTCTCACCCCATGTCAGGCCAACTCCAGTATAAAATGGAGAAGCATAACCACACCTCCCGTCACAACAAAGGGAAGAGAGGAAAGAACAATGAGTATATTGATCTTTATAGTTCTACACTAGGCGTGGAGCATGTCTCCTAAAAAAATCATAGTACATATGGCACAAGAATATTCAACATTTCGAGTCGGAATGGGAGAAATCAATATTCTAAAAGGCATGTTTAGGGGCTACCTAGGCATGTGCTTTTTTACTTGGCAAATGATATTTTCTTATTTTAAAGCACAACCCTGGAAAATGCTCACCCTAGCTCCAACTTAAAAAGTAAATAGGTTCGACGAAAAACCTACCCTTACTCCAATTCAGCCCTCGAATATAGTTTTCTCTTTCCAGACAAAGCATTATTGATTTGTGATATTTATGATTTCTAGATTTATGTTTTTCGTTGAAAACTTGAAAAATATGTCTGAAATTCCTATAATGATCGACATAATTAAGAATATGAGTTAAGTTTTATATGATAAACAAATTCTATTTTATTGTCATGTGTATGTAAAAAGAATCAAAGAAATTGTCAAAAGCAAAAATATGAGCATGTAAAAAAACTGAGTGATGATATTCAACACCAATGACTCTAAGCACCAGTCTCTATGTGACAATTTTACAAAGAATTGGACTTCCCAGTTCCCACAATTAATCAGAAAGATTCCTCATTGTATATTTGACTGGAATTTATGTTTTTTCCCAATTCCAATTACTGCTTTCTTAAGTCGTTGAAGTCAATGAAAAAGTACGAACAGCCAATGGATGAAGCCAGCAGGAGAGAGAGCAAAAGACCTGTCTGAAGTCTTTATTTATGTCACTTTCCAGTTCAAACCAACGTACCAGTGTACCACTCACTCCATACTTAAAACCATAAAAGACTAGTGTTCTTACTAGCATCCATGTGAAGACCCTTTAAAATTCGTATGTTCTGTTCCAAATTGTGTTTCTTGAGAGGAATTTTTTAGAAACGTTTAGGCTATTTGAATCTCATGCTCAAATCTGATCCGGGATTTCATACCTTTTTAGTAACGGCGATTTGTTCATAATTCGATCATGAAAAGTGAAGCAAGTAGTAATTCTTGATATCAAATATAGGTCTACTCGTTCAAAAGATCATATCAAGAATCCTTTTCTTTAAAGTTTAAAACCCAAATTTCAAATTCCAAATGAGAAGTTTGGCATCCAAACGCTTTTCACAAAACATTTAAAACCAAAATTCCCAAATAGAACTCATAAAAACTGCTTCAAATAACCAAAGATCACAAAGAAATCATGCATCCAAACATCAAAATCCCTTCACAAAAAAACTAAGGGTCCGTTTGATTGGAATTGTGGAAAATTGGTGGAAAGAAAATGAATTCCAGGAAAAGTAATTGCCTAAAAATTGTTTTGCAGGAAATTGTTAATTAAGTGTGTTTGATTGTTATAAATCTCCACCTGGTAAATTTTTAAATTTTGTGTTCGTTTGGCTTTGTTTTACATGGAAATTGTCCATTAAAGTGATAATTTTTTTCACAATTGGTTATATAAAATTTGTTTCTATTGTCAAAAATTAAAAAAATGTTGAAAAAAAAAATGTTCCTAAAAAATCATTTTTTCATCAAAGTTTAGTGTTCGTTCGACTTTGTTTTATATGGAAATTGTCCATTAAATAGATTTTTTTTTTAAAATTTGTTTCCATTGTAAAAAACAAAAAAAATGAACGTGAACTGAAATATGATTTCCCACCAAATTTGGTGGGAAATCATTTTCCCCAAAATCAAGATGCATTGGCGCGTGAGCCAACTCCAAAAGCAAAAACAAAAGCCCTAAAAAATTTGGCTTTTCAAACAAGCCAAAATCAAGGAAAATGAAAACATTTTCCATGTTACAAGGCAAATATGGTTTATCAAACAAGGCCTAAATAATTTAAAACTTACAGGATCATCTGTGACAGGTGATGCAGTGTGGAAAACTCCATCACAGCCGTTGATGGCTTCTACCAAACTCTGATAATCA